TAACAATGTGAAGATCTATGTCACTGTTGTTGTAGTAACAATGTGAAGATCTATGTCGCTGTTGTTGTAGTAACAATGTGAAGATCTATGTCGCTGTTGTTGTAGTAAAAATGTGAAGATCTATGTCGCTGTTTTTGTAGTAACAATGTGAAGATCTATGTCACTGTTGTTGTAGTAACAATGTGAAGATCTATGTCACTGTTGTTGTAGTAACAATGTGAAGATCTATGTCGCTGTTGTTGTAGTAACAATGTGAAGATCTATGTCGCTGTTGTTGTAGTAAAAATGTGAAGATCTATGTCACTGTTGTTGTAGTAACAATATGAAGATCTATGTCGCTGTTGTTGTAGTAACAATGTGAAGATCTATGTCACTGGTGTTGTAGTAACAATGTGAAGATCTATGTCACTGTTGTTGTAGTAACAATGTGAAGATCTATGTCGCTGTTGTTGTAGTAACAATGTGAATATCTATGTCACTGTTGGTGTAGTAACAATGTGAAGATCTATGTCACTGTTGTTGTAGTAGCAATGTGAAGATCTATGTCACTGTTGTTGTAGTTTTCAAGAAGCCAATCTACATTGGGCAATAAAAATGTGTCTAAAATTTAATCGGAAAATGCCCCTTACTTTCCCTATCACAGGGGTTTCCAAACCCCTTCACTCCATCCCGTCTTGTTCTGTCCATGGTGCCAACCCCTTCACTCCATCCAGTCTTGCTCTGTCCATGGTGCCAACCCCCTCACTCCATCCCATCTTGTTCTGTCCATGGTGTCAACCCCTTCACTCCATCCCGTCTTGTTCTGTCCATGGTGCCAACCCCTTCACTCCATCCCGTCTTGCTCTGTCCGTGGTGTCAACCCCTTCACTATATTCCGTCTTGCTCTGTCCGTGGTCTCAACCCCTTCACTATATCCCGTCTTGCTCTGTCCATGGTGCCAACCCCTTCACTTCATCCCGTCTTGCTCTGTCCGTAGTGTCAACACCTTCACTATATCCCGTCTTGCTCTGTCCATGGTGCCAACCCCTTCACT